GAGTCTTTCAGTTCCAAGGATCTACCTGAACAGCTGGAGACAGCAGCCTTGAGATAAACTCTCCATCCTCTGCCATCCCTATGTCTGCAAGCCTCTCCTTCCAGGCTTCACCATCCTCTTCGGAAGAGTTGGCATCACCTTGGCCCTGAAATGTACACTGAATGCTGTTGTCCCTATATACTACTGGATTGTTTTTATCTAGTGCTTCTCGTGGGCTTGTAGCTAGGTTGTACTTACATGGAGATGCCATTTGATCAAAACCACCACCACATGGTTAGGTGGTATGGCGGAGTTGTTAGAGTGTTGTACTGGGACTCAAGAGATCTGGGTTCTAGCCTTTACTTGGCCCAATGGGTGAATTTGGGCCAGTCAGTGATGCCTAGTCTGTCTCTCAGAGTTGTTGCAAGGCTGAAATAGAGAGAAAGGCCATGTAAACAGCCTCTGGTTTCTTGTAAGAAGAAAAAAGAAGAGTTATTTAAAAAAACAAAGTTGCATTGGAATAGCTTGCTTCAAGAAGCTTGCTTCAGCTGGGTTAGAGAGGTAAATAGCTGAAGATCGAAGTAGCAGCAAAAGATAAAAGTATATGGAACATGATCTGGCTGCACCTATTGTTATTATCCTTATTATTACATTTATGTCCAATAACTTGCAAATCAAATAAAAAGCAGCTTTATAGTTTTTACATGTTCTTAACAGAAGTCATAGAAGTAAGGCCTGTCTTACCATTTCTGTGCAGACAAAATTCAGTCATTTTAGACTTAACACATCTGTTCTGTGAAGTAACTTATTTCATTGTATTTATTTTATTGTATTTTATTTCTGTATTCCCCAGTAGTTGGAGCTCTCTGGGAAGTTTACAGCACATAAAATTCAATATAAAAAGTAATAAAAGCATTATAAAAAGGTTACCATACAAAATTTAAAACAAATGTTAAAAAGCTAAAATAGCGTAAATCATAAGATTTAAACAATCTAAACAGCTAACAAAGCCAAAATGTAATAACTATTTAAATGTCCTTTTTGTAAGAGGACAGTCTTAACCTAGTACTAAAAATATATTATTTGTGGGCCTCATTGGAGGCTACCATTTAAAGGGCTTGTTGCCACCTTGAGCTTCCCTTGGAGATGGCAGTCAAAAGCAGACCCCAGATTGTGATTGTACTGTCCAGGTAGATTGTGGTCTGTGCAGGGCATTGTAGGTTAAAATCAACACCTTCAATTGGGCTTGGAAGCATATTGGCAGCCAATGGAAGTGGGGCAGAAATGGTGCCAAGTGTTCAAAGCATCTGGCCGTCACATTTTTCACAAGCTGGTTTCGGAACAGTTTTCAAGGGCAGCTCAGCATAGAGTGAATTTCAGTAATCCAGTTTACACATCACCAGAGTATAGAGTACTGAAACCGGTGTATCTCTGTTCAGACAGCATAGTTAGGCCGCCAGCTGAAGTTGGTAGAAGGCATTCAGTGCTGCTAAGGGCACTTTGGCCTTAAGTGACAAAGATGTCTCAAAGAGCACCCCCAAGCTACAAACCTCCTTCAAGGGGAGTATATGCCCATGTAGCACAGGCTGAATCCTCTCCATTTGGTCAGGAAAACCATGCACTAACAGCATCTCTTGTTGGTCTGTCTGGATTGAGATTCAGTTTGTTAGCCCTCATCCTGTCCATTGTTATACGCAGGAGAAAAAGAGCTGTGTGTTATCAGCATGCTATGCCTCCAAAACTCTTCATGGCTTCACTTCCACCTTTCAGATCACAAGCCCAGCTCTAGTTCATGTTAGAGCTGAGCAGCAGTTACGTACTTCAAATTAAGCCTAGTGCATGGACATTGCATGTACTGTGCTAATGGTGATAACCCACTAGCACAACTTTTCCTTGTAGAAGCATGGGGTGGCGGGGAAGAAGGGAAAGACCATGGGGTCAGATATCTTATCTATTCACATCATGCATTGCTTAGGATGCACACCCACTCCACCACTAGAAGGCATCAGTGGACCTTGTTTGCCTATTTTGCTTGGATTAGTAAATATGGATTATTTTTTGGAAATGAAAATTACAGGTGTGGGAGCCTGCCTTGGGTTGGGACTGCAGCAGGGGGCAAAGGGTAAATGCTCAACCAGTTTATTATTATTTAAACCATGTGTGGGCGATATGTGGTCCTTCGGATTTGGATTGCAACTCACATCATCCTTCACCATTGGCCGAGCTGGTTATGGCTGATTAGAGCTGTAGTTCAAAACATCTGCCGAGCCGTACATGTCCTGCTCCTGCTTTAGATGAAGTTCAAACATGTAATATACTGTAGTGAAACATCTTGAATGAATTAGAATCTTAGAGTTGTATCCGATGCTCACTACTGGCAGAGGGGATTTCTGCTTACTGCCTGTAGGCCCCCAGGTACCCCACATGTTTGGAGACACTCTGGAGCAAATGATGGACACATGGGTGTGTATGCAGTGGAGAGAAGAGGACAGGGATGTCTCATCACATGAGGTTTGGCGCTAACCCTTTGCTATTTCCTTACAGTTGTAGAAGACTATCGCTACCCTCAACATTTGCACAAATAGACTTCCCCAACCTAGTGTTTCTAGATGTGTTAGATCGCCATTCTATCACCCATTGCCAGCATGGTAGCAAAGCAGCTGTTCCTTTTGCAAGGCTTTTATGTTTATGTTTTTCAAGTGTACAGCAGCTTACCATTGTGATTGTTTTATTTATTTTGGTTTGGAAATGGTGGTTAATGTTTCATTTTTGCATTGTTTTGTCAGGGTTCAGCAATGTTGGGCTCATGAAAAGTATTCAAACTGTTTATTGTTTAGAGCTTCTCATGAAATTTGTATAAATAAAGAATTCTTAGCCTTTGCAAATAAAGTATACATATGACATTTATGACTACATAAATAAATACCTCTGTCCACCACAATAAAGAGGGGAAAGCCATAAGAAAAATCTAATTTGTTATCATAAAATTGTATGCATTTCTAAGCATGGATGCTATTGATCAGTATGAAATGTTGCTTTTAATAAAATACACGCTTTGCATATCCAAGGACATATTCCATAGAAAACAGTGCAGTTCAGACATACTGCTTCTGTAGGGTGATATAAATTGGTATTCACATCCAGTTTACAAGGCTTCTTTCTTCCTTGTAATTTTTTGAATGGTGAGAATTGCATGTATTATTACCTGCTCATTGCTATCCTGGAATGGTGCAAAGTTTCAGAGGTAGCACTACCTGAATATGGTTTTATTTTATGGTTTGGGAACAAAACACTGGAGATTTTCAAATATTTATAAGTGCTTTATTTATTTATGTACAAGTAGAGCACAGTTAAAAACAAACAGAGTACATACACCTGCCTGGCAGCAGATCCATTATCAGTTGATGATTATTTCACACTGGATTTTCAGAGGCATGCTGCATTCCAAGATGCTTCAAGCTCACAGCTTTCTCTTTCTTTACTTCAAGTGTGTATGTTCTCAAATGATGCCATACCTGCCTTCTCCCTTTATGCACAGGGTCATTTCTTTCTGCTGTCTCAACCTTTCATGAGTGTGGTTTTAGTTCATAAGGCCCAATTGCTCAGCTTAGTAACAGTGGGTATAGTTGAGCACTGAATCACAAGTCTTCAAATCAGATGACAAGCTAAATACCCTTTTGTTTAATCAAAAGTGGTACTGCACAGGTATTTCCTTTGCGTATTTCCCCTCTTCAGAACAGTAAAGTTTGCTTTTGTGCAGTGACATTGAGAAACCAAGCTAAGGCTTGTTATGGAATGATTGGATTCTCTGTGGGTTTAAAGTTTAAGCCCATGGAGATTCTAAACATCTTTCCCAACAACTCTTAGCCCAGTTTCTCATTGCCATTGCAAAAAGCAAACATTAGTGCCATGAAGGCCAGGTGGGGGACTTGACACACTCAGATGCCTGCACACACACATTACTTCTTCACCCTTCTCCAGTTAGGCTTTATAAAGGTCTGCATTGGTAGAGACTTTTAAAAAGCCTGATTTTTCAAAGGTTGTGGGGTGGCAGTGTTGGGTAGGGGACGGCTAGTTGTTCCCTTTAAAGTGCCACTTACAGTGCAGTTGGGCTTTAAGGAAGCCTCTTTTGGCGCCAGTAGAAGGTTTAAAGCAGCTTAAATGTAGTCTGAATGGGGGAGCAGAGGAATGGTCTTATCTCTGATCAGAAATCAGGGGTCATGATGTTTCCATACTTACCTTACTAGTAGATTATTAAAGCACATGATGTCAAATTAGGGCTTAAAGATAAGGCAGGGAAGCTGGCAAGCTACCTCAAGCCATCTTACAGGACGTATTAGGCCCATCTGCCAAAGGATTCCCATCCATGATTTAAACCCATACTACTAGTTTTCAGTATGAGGGTGTTAAGTTGGGTGTCACTATTAAGCTATAATGTTCTGTTGGCTAGCTGATTCAGACTGGAACATTACTTCCTCTGAAGAAAAGATGCTGACCACCTGATCCCCTTTTCGTTTTAGTTTTGTTTAGAAACCCAAACATGGACATTGTTGCTTGTATATTAGAAAGGTATAGATATATTTATATTAAAAACAGTCTAGCAAAACTGGAATAAGTATAATTAAATTAGCAAAATTAGGTGGCTCCCTTCTGTGAACAAAAGGGCTTCCCACTTGCACAAGAGAAGGTTTGGATCCAGGCCTGTGTTCTTATATGGATCCTGAATTTGGATCTGTATCCTCTGTTTTTACATCTTGTCCCTTTTTCTTTCTTGCAATAACTTTTGTAATTACAAAAATAAAAAGGCATAGATTTCAGGCTTCTCTTTCTTGTTTGTTTACATAAACTTAAGCACTTTTCATTCCCTCTAGCACTGTTTATATGTCACTGCACAGATCATTAGAATAAGTCAGGTAGAAAAATCGACCTTCATATTTTTTGGCTTGAATTCAACCTGCGGAACTAAGCTCTGCAAAACAAAACTAAAGAAGTTCTGTCCTTTTTGTTTGTTTTTTGTTTAGCACTTTCAGACCATGTTGAAGACAAAGCTTAATGTTTTAACTCTTCGGAAGGAGCCTCTCCCCACTGTAATCTTCCATGAGCCAGAAGCCATTGAGCTGTGTACCACAACTCCATTAATGAAGACGCGGGCACACACTGGATGCAAGGTATATAACAGTTCAAAATGCATCTTAAAAAATCTGCTGTGGGAATGTTCCATAACAATAAAGAATGAAAGGGCGTGAGTAGACTAGACACTTCTGTTTTTGGAGCGCCTTGCAGAATATGTGCAAGCATCTTATAAATATGCAAATAAAGACATCTCAGGTAATTTTGGTGTTTGGAAAGTCTACTCAATATGATTCTAGGACAAGAGAGAAAAATCCCACCTTGTTTGATTGAATTTCCATTTGACCAGGTGAATTATACTGTTAATGAATGATAAAGCTGGGTTCTGCAACTTCTCAGTTTCTTTTAGGTTCCAGAAGACCTGTGAACTCCCCATTGAGATGGAGAGCTTTCTCTTGTTCCATTGGGAAAGCAGCAGTGGATTTCTGTAGCCATGCATTCTCTTTTGTAATTTGAGCAGTGTGTCTATGGTGGGGAGAGAGATTGCAGAGAGAGGAAATTGAAACCGCCTGTTATCTGCCTCTGTGCCGCCCCACCCCATTCTCAGTGGATCAGGAGCCAACTGGGCATGGAGAGTGGGTAGAGCTTTGGAGAAGAAGCTGGTGGACTGATGGAGAGGTCTGGCGGACCACATCTGCTGTGTACACTACCAGTTCCCCAGCAAGTGGACTAGAGCTTCATATTAGCATTCTTTGAAGTCCATATCCCTCAACACACATAGGAATCTTCAGGGAATGGGCCAGGTATGGCATTCATGGATTCCTCATCTGGCTTGCTTGTTTCTTCTGTTAAGAAGAAACCTCTTATCTCTGGTAAGTTGCTGATCAGAGTTAAGATCTATTCCCTGCAGTGGAGGGTGGGAGGAACCAGGGGAGGAAACTACTGAGTGATTATCCTGTTTACTTCTGAGGTTTCTTTTGCACAGCCTTGTCCTGCTTATTTGTGAGTAGACATGCAGCATCTTGTTATGTTTAATTCTGAATGAACATGCAGAGGCTTGATATTTTCATGCAGTATGAAAGTGCATTTGAGTATTTAGTCCTGCTTACGTATAAGCAAAATTGCAGAGGTTTATTCTGCTTATATGTGAGTCATCATAGAGACTTAGGTTGTGCCCTTGAGACTAAATATGCAGAAATTTGGCATTTGGGATGCTATTTGAAAATGCTGATGAGCGATTCAGACCTTCTTACTTCAGAATAGTGAAATAAGTCATAATATTTTGATCACATCTACCTTTCTCCCACCCACAGATGGACTGAGGGCTGCAAGACCTTTCTCAGACTTTAAGCTTCCCCACCCTTGCCCTAGAACTTCAATCATTTTATGCTTATGACATTCTGTATCTTAAACTAGAGTTGGCTTTGACCTGCAGCAGAATTATTTCTTGACATAACAAGCAGCAAACTCTCTTGCTGAAGAAAACTAGGTTGTTTTTTATGTTGAGCCTCTCCTCTCCTCTCCTCTCCTCTCCTCTCCTCTCCTCTCCTCTCCTCTCCATCGAATTTTCCTTTAATAAGAAGAATAAACATCAGGACCTGTATTTCCTGGTATTATAAATGCCACAACAATGAAGATAATGTTATGTGCTATCAGTAAACTAAACACTGTTAAATGATGAGGGATGGGGAGATATATTTATCTGACCTTTACAAAATTTAAATTGTAGTAGGGCAGCACGAACAAGACCATCAAGCAGGCATATGACAGTTTGGGGTTGAGGATGGGTAGGATTCTGCTAGGAAACCAGTGCCTGAGTTGGACTTTCATTTTGCATCTGTGTCCAAGTGCTTCAGGCCTCCCACAAGCAGCTGTTTGATGAGCTGGTGGAAGTGGGCAATTGAGGACAATAATTCTGCATGGGATTAGCAAACAAAAGAGGACTGCCACTGTGACATGCTATGGCTCTTATGGACTGTCATGTTGTATGAACCTGATGTGCATGTCAAACAACCCTTGAACAACCTTAAGACAGAGTACATCAGGCTATCTTGTAACAGCTTTTCTTGCTCTGCAATTTTAGTGGTGGTGGGTGCATGTTGTTCACCCCAGCTCTACAAACTGATATTTAATGAGTTTTTTTCCACTGGGGTCAAAAATGTCATGGGCTGCAAAGTTTTCTATATGCTCTGCTTTACCAGCAACATATATTTGTAGTCATGGTCAAAGTGGAAGGTGAGAAGAAAATAATCTAGGGTTCCATGAACTGGAGTCTGGGAACTAACTCTAGACTCCTCTTATATGCATATTTGGCCTCTAAATCCACATTACAGCAGAAAATGTTCCAATAGAATTTCTTTCTGCACACCCGGCATATGATCCTCTAAGGGTAGTCATAGATAACAACTTCTGCCAGTACCAAAACAGGACCAGGTTGCCTTCGGAAAAAGCTTTGGGCCAGTTAAATTGAGGTGTAGATTCCTCTATGCTTTCTGATAAATTACAGTGTATTGCAGACTTCACAAAATCTTATACATGGGAGGAAATAGTGTTGGGAAGAAACACCCCATCCTCTTCTGGCTTGATGAAGAGTATGTTACAGGTAGATGGAGTCAGGTGCTGAATTTAATTGTGGTTTGGGAATGCAACAGAAGCTGGTATTTACTTATAACAGGAGGTGACAACTTTGGAAGTATAGGGGGGCATTTATGGATCCTGTTGCAGGGTGCACTTAAATCCTACAATGACAAAATAATAATAACTATATTATTATTATGTAATTATGTATACTATTTCTAATGCTAAATTTAAAAAATAAAAAACTAAGATTGCATATGCATATTAAAATCATAATTTAATCACATTTAAAGCATAATTAAAATACAATTACAATTATTATGAAGCACTAAAAGGGTAAAAGTTAACTGATTTGTAAGCTAATTTTGACCTTTTCAGTGCTCTGTAATGGTTACTGGTCACTAAAAGGGTAAAAAGGGGGTACTTAAAAGTTGTTTTCTCTTGATTTCCAAATAGAAGTACGCCTCTAGGAATGATTAATTTTATAATACATACAGCAGGGGAACTGGATGCTATTTCTCAGGACAGAGGTTCTCCTGGGGTAGAAATGGTGTAGAAATTAGTTGCCTGTGTTTGTTGGAAGATCTAATAAGGAATAAATAGGGAAAATAATGTATGCTTGTTGGAAAAGCAGTGATTGCTAATGATGGGGTGCTTTTAGACAAGTTTTTTATGGACTTATAAACCATGCTACAGTCTGTTTCTGTTCTTGGCACCAAGAAGTTAAGTCAACAGGCTTGGCCCTTTGTCTGCATTTCTTTCCAATTGATGTTTTAAGCTCAGTTTTTGGATACTGATGGAAGATCAGCACAGGTTGCTATGAAAACAAATATGGCAAGTCCGGAACAGGGAGGCACAGAATATGCCAATTCATCATTTTCCTATAAATAACAAATCTCTGTAAACAATGTTATGATTAAGAATGGGAGAGAGAACAGATGTCTCAGTGTGTCTATTTTGTTTTTACCGGTATCCCAATTATTTATTGATTTCTAAAATGTTAGCATATATTTTGCAAACCTTGTTGGCATAGTTTAATGATTATGCTCATCTGAAAATGTGCCATTCCTACTTAGATAATCATAATCCTCTGATGCCTGAAACCTTATGTTAAAGGGTTCTACTTACACTGTCTCTGGTAATTTTTACCAGGACAAGAACTGGAATATATTTGCTATACATAGTAGTGACTGAACTATGATTTGTTTCTATGATCTACTGTCTTAGAGGAGCAGCTAATAGTTTCGGTTGTGGCATTCCATTGTGACCCCCTTAACGTCAGGTTTGGCACACAGAAACCATTGGCACTTTTCCATTAGCACTTCTATCCCAGCCTTCTTCCACAACACAGCTGTAATTGGATTGTTTCCAAATAGTTAATTTGTAAGGCAAACTGGTAGAATTACTAGCATTGCACACCCCCATATATGCTAACAGAGATCTTTGAACTATACTAGCATCTTTCAGCAAGTATAGTGTCAGCATCCTATTAAAAATCTTTCCCATGTTGCAACAACAAAACAAGACAAAAGATTGACAGTGATCCTATGGCATACCACTGGGTTTTGCTTTCCCATAGTGTTTACCATCTGCACTGAACTGCTGGGGGAGTTTATTGGGGGATGGTGAAATGTCTACAGGTGAGTTTTTCCAGGGATGAACTGAGATGATATCAATATGCAGATGACACATAGCTCTGTCTCTTCTTTTCATCACATTCAGGTAAGGCAGTGACTGTTCCCAATCTATCTCTGGGTACAGTAAGGCATTGGATGAGGGCCAATAAATTAACACTCAATCCAGACAAGATGGAGATACTGTTAGTGGAGGGTTCACTTGCCCAAAGGAATGATATTGAGTTGGTTCTGGAGGGGGTTGCACTTCCCCTAAAAGATCGGGTTTGTTGTTTGTCGATGCTCCTGGATCCAGCACTGTTGCTTGGTGCACAGATGAACTTGGTGACATGGAGTACCTTTTATTACTGTGAAATGATGTACCAGCAACGTTCTTATCTTGACAGGGATAGCCTAGCTAGAGTCATCCATGCTGTGGTAACCTTTCAGTTGGATTACTGCACTATGTTCTATGTGGGGCTGCCTTTGAAAATGGTCCAGAATCTTCAGTTAGACCAGAACAGGGCAGCAATGTTGTTAGTGGGAGTGGTCAATGGGATTGTAGTAAGCCAGTGCTTTGCCATCTGTACTGGCTGCCAGTCTATTTCTGGGCTTGATTCAAAGTGCTTGTATTGATATTCAAACCCTTAAATAGCTTCTGTCCAGGTTACTTGAAGGATCGTCTCTTTCTACATATTCTCGGCCAGAACCTAAGATCACCTTCAGTGCTCCTTTTGAGTGAGCCCCTGCCAAGAAGATTCAGGTGGGTGGCTACTAGGAAGAGGGCCTTTCTGTAGTGGCACCCTGCCTATTAAATGAACTTCCCAGGGAGTTTTTTCTGACACCAGGTGAAGATCTTAATTTCTAAGGAATTTTCCCAAGAATTTTAGTTTCACAGTTTTAAATTC